CAACATTATTGATTATATTCCCCAGACTGTCTTTTCTATCACTGAGGCCATATTGTAAATTATTTATAAAATAACAAAAATAATATTAAAGGAGTTTTCAACTCAGATAGCAAGAGATAATAAACTATTTTTCTGGGTATACTGAGTGTTAAAAATATATTTGAAGTAGGAAACATTACAGTACTAGGGATGAACTGCAAAACTGAATTGGTTTTGGGGCTGTTGGAAGAGTTGAGATCAGCTATTGGACTTGCATTATCTACCAGGACCCATGCCCGCTAGAAATAATGTGACTGAAATGGCCCAAGACCTCAACATGAACAAGAACTTAATGAGATGTAGGGAAGCAGGGGAGAAAACCCCTTGTGTAAAGCTGAAATGATTAAGTGCCCAACAAGCAGACCTGAAGTATTAATAGAGTTGTTATAAATACAGTGTTTAAAATCTATTTTTACCATCAACAAGAATAAGAAAAAGTAGGAAAAGACAGGGTAGATTTAGTAAAGCTTACTAAGTTAAAAAAAATTAGATGTTACGTTTGTTATTCATATTTGATCCATGTAAATCTATTATTCATTTCTTCCCCAGATTCTCCTCATGCTTTGGAAAAGCTTGAGTTTTACACAATTTTCACATACACATTTGACCTAAAGTTTTGTATTAATTAACATTACTATCTTCTTCCCAAATAATAGAAGGATCTTACATGAATTTATTCCACTTCCCATATATTTTATTCTCCATTTTAGTTCTATTCTTTAAAAAATACGATACTGATCATTATTACTGCTGTTTTATACAATGATAGCTTCTTAAATATACCCTTTTAACACTTTTTTGTGAAGTATGGTATAATAGAGGAAAAGTTCAGAAAATATGAATGTATGCCTCAACGAACTCACAAAACGAACATCCACATAACCATAACAAGAAATAGCCTTCCCCCACCATTCCCCATAGGCAAACACAGTCTAATTTTTACAGTAATTGTTTCCCATTTTTCTTTATAGTTTTACCATCTCAGTATGCTTTGGTAAACACTATACTTTGAGCTTTATATAAATGGAATCATCCAGTAAGTATTCTTTTTTGTCTGGTTTCTTTTGCTCAACATTTATTTGTGAGATTCACAACTACATATAGCCATAGTCTGTTTGTTTATATTACTGTGTAGTACTTCATGACAATTTATCCATTTACAGGATATAAAATTCTAAGTTCACAGTTTATTCTCTTTCAGCTCCTTAAAAATGGCATTCAACTGATTTCTGGTTTCCATCATTTCTGTTGAGAAGACAGATGCCAACTAATTGTTGCTTATTGGAAAGTAATCTTTCTTTATTTTCTAGCTGCTTTTAAGATTTTTCTCTGTGTTTTGTTTTCAGCAGTTTAATGATGCTTAATCATAGCTATAAATTTTGGTATTTCTCTTGCCTGTGGTTCATATCACTTCTGGAATCTACAGATTGAATTTACTCATCAGCTGTAGAAATTCTAAACCATTTTTCTCTTCAAATACTGCTTTTGCCCCGTCCTCTTTCTCCTTGACTATCTGGACCTTTAAAGACATTCTTACAGTCTTTTCTATCTTCTTTTATTCCTTTCATCCTTTGTCTCTGGTTATTTTTGCCTAACATCTTTCAGTTCACTAATTCTCTCTTCAGATGTGTCTAATCTGCTGTTTAAACTTATCCACTTGAATTAATTTCAGTTACTGAATTTCTCATTCCTAGAATTTCCATTTGACTTTTTTTTTGTTTCCAATATTCTGCCAAAATTCTCAATCTTGTTTCTCTTTGAGTGTGATAAGAATAGTTACTTTCAAAGTCTATATCTGAAAATTCCAATATCCAGAGGCCCAATTTCTATCCCCTTTTGTTTCTCTTTCTTCATGCTGTTTGTCTGTGTATCTGGTTGTTTTTGATTATAAGCCAGATATCGCATTTGCAAACCGCAGAAATAATTTGTGGCCGTGCATGATATTACCTTCCTCCAGCAAAGATCTACCATTGCCAGATGCCCGGGGGCACTAGTGATTTAGAAACCCTCAATCTAATTTTAGAGAATGACATGATTCACAGCTGATCTACAGCCTCTTTGAGAGCGTGTCTACTTCTAGTTAACCCTTGCTCCTATGGTGTAGTCCTTCAGGGTCCCAACTCAAAGTGAGGCATGTTTACCAAGTGTACCCTCTTTGAGGGCCACAGGCTCTAATCTCTGCCCCCATTACTTCCATTAACCTATCAAAAGGGCCGCATAGCTATTTAGTAGCCCTCTCCAGCAATGGCTGACATTTCCAGAGAAAGTGACCTTTTTTTTTCTGGGCCTCCACCTATCAGGACCTTTTTTCCTGTATCTCCATTCTCCCCCTAGATCTTGTAAGTTCTTTGATGCCTTCAAGAAAAAAAAATATAAATAAATAAATAAAATAAAAAATAAATATTTTGTTGAGCTTTTCTGGTAGTCTTCAGTGGCAGGCATGGTTCAAGTTATCTAATCTGCCACTACCAGGAGTAGAAGTTCCAAATTTTATCTACATTTTCACCAATTTCATTGCTCATCCACTGTTCCCTCTGGGTTCAATTTCCTTCAGTCTCAAGTACATCCTGCTTCCTAGTCTTCCAACAAGCTTCTGGTGACTGGTTAATTCTATTAGTCTTTGCTTGAAAAAATATCTTTATTTCACCTTTCTTCCTGAATGAGAATTAAACTGGGTATAAAATTTTAAGTTGACAGTTATTTTCACTTAGCTCTGTGACTATATTATTCCACTGTTTTCTGGTGTCTCTTGCTGTCATTGAAAAGCTTGCTGTCAACATAATGGACCTCTCCCTTGGTATATCATCATTTCTTTTTTGTTGATATTACGATGTTTCTCTTTTTCTTTGGCACTCTCCAGTTTCACTACAATGCGAAATAAGTTAATTTTTATTTATAGTATTTGTGCTCATGGTGCTACATGAATCTGAGTATTTGTGTTTTATCAATTCTAGAAAATTCTCAGCCATTCTATCTTTGAATATATACTTCTATTACTTCTATACTATTCTATTTGGACTTCTCACTTTAACTCTGTTATCTAAACTTCTCTTTCATATTTTCCATCTATCTCTCTGTGCTATACTCTGGCTGATTTCTTTAGCTCTATTCCTGTTTACCACTTCTCTTTTTAGCTGAAACTGTTGGCTTATATTTAACCTGGTTGCTGAGTTTTAAATTTTGATGATGTTGTTTTCCATTTATTGAAGCTAATTTTAGCTTCCCTTATGAGAATCTCTTGTGGCCTGAGTTGTTGGAGCATGCCTTGGGGCTTGCTTATATCTAACAACCCCTACGGTATCATTAGCCCAGGATTCATTTTTAAATTATTTTCTCAGCTTGGGGACCCCAGACTATAGATGGTGTGTGTGTGTGTGTGTGTGTGTGTGTGTGTGTGTGTGTGTGTGTGTGTGTGTGTGTGTGTGTTTTAATCCTAAGCTTCAGTCAAGGATCCATGGTTTAGAGTTGCTATGGGAGATTCCTCAGCTCTCACTCCAGAACCCAGGCAGATGGTTAAATGTTTTTGTTTGTTAAAAGTTTTTGTTATTTTTCTGTGCTGGTAGGCAGATATTTTCTAGTTCATTCTTTTCACTGAAGACACAACTCCTTTGAAGGCTCCAGTTCATAGTCCACATCTTAAGTGGGTTCAAGGACTCATTTTCTTCCCTCAGTGGGTGCTAAAACCCAAGCTCATTCATTACCGAAGCCAAAAGCTGCAACTCAGATCTTTACCACTCTGATTTTCAGAGTTTTCTTTTCATTTCTGGAGCTTTCCTTTTCTTTCCCGAGAATTCAGTTATTCATTTAAAATTTTAGTTGTATTTTAGCAGCACATGAAGGCATGTGTAGAAGGAAGTTGCATAGTTTACTGTATTGCCAAAAACAGAAATTCCATGGCATTATTTTTAAATTTTTTGTCAATGAAACAAATATGTTAATATTAGTGCATTAGTCTGGGTTTTCCAGTGAAACAGAGCCTATGGATCTATAGACATCTATAGATCCATTGTATTAGTCACCTGAAAATATACAGATATACTAATATAGATATATTAGTCACCTGAAAAAACATATAAATAAATAAATACACACACACACACACAAATCTAGATCTAGATCTCTATTTATCTAACTAGCTAGCTATAGAGAGATTAATGATAAGGCAATGGCTAACACAATTATGGGGACTGTCAAGTCTCAAAATCTTCAGATCTTTCTGTTCTATTCAGGACATCAATGATTGAATGGAGCCTACCCACATCAGGGAGGGCAACTGCTTTACTCAGTCTACTGATTTACCTGGTAATCTCATCCAGAAATACCCTCACAAACGCACCCAGAATAATGTTTAACCAAATGTCAGGGCACCCTGAGGTCTAGTCAAATTGACACATATAATTAATTATTACAATTAGTAAACTCTGGTTGTATTTTTAATTATTTTTTTTCTAAGACCCAAATCAAGCTTGCCTTTGAGACCTAACAATTCATACTGTTACTCTACAACTGAGCTGACTCAGTGATAAGTAAGCTGGCTATCTGCACACGGACCTTACAAATACATAACTCTACATGATTTCCTATGGATTTAATTTCCTCCTTTTCCAAAGGATGAGTTCAAGTCTCTGGAAGTAATGCGGACTAAAAGCGTCACCTGAAAATATATTCATGATCTGTTTTGGTAAAACCTTTGGCTTATACAATCATCTACTTTTGTATTATGAACATGTGGGTCACGATATCTACTTATATCATGTAAATCCCCCATAATCTCTGGTTCAATGACGTAACTTGGTACTAAATAAATTTTACCTGTAAGTTTTTCAAAATATAGATCACAGTAACAAGTTTGCCACCATAGCTCTGGGTTTCATTCATCATACACGTTTTTTACCATTAACTCTGGGCTTCATTCATCATATAAGTGAGAACAAATTTTTACTGAATTATATTAACATTACCCTCCTTTGCTCCTCTTCAGCATCAGCAAAGAGTTTGCGAATGTTAGCCTCTGATTCTCCCACATATTTGTTAAGGATTTCCGGCCCATTGACCACTTTGGGCTCTCTTGCATTCAACATCTTGCCGATCTGTCGAGCCAAGAGAGTCTTACCACAACCTGGGGGCCCATACAACAGGATGCCTTTAACGTGTTTGCAACCTAAAAAAGAGAACAGTCTTACATCAGCTAACTAAAACCCAAGACAAACAGCTAAAAGAAAGTTTTCTTTCTTCTTCATATGCATATTATGAAAAATATAGTGATGCCATTAACACATATTCATATCCAGGTGCCATGAACAGAACAACCATGAACAACTAAACTTCTTTTTAATAGAAAAATCCAGAAATAATTCCTATACCAGTACCAATATCTAAAGGGGAAAGCTGCGGAAAAGTATCTTTGAACTATCATTTAGAACAAATACTTTTAACTCTGAAAATGTCTCTTTCAATTAAACATCTAATTAAGAACTACTACTTATTTGTCATTATTCTTTAAAGTCGGGGGGAAAAATATCTTTTTTGTGTGTGTGAATTTAATGCAACACAAATCTGTGATACAGTAGGCCATGGAACCTCTCTCTTAGTCATAGAAATTACAGGTCTACCTGTCAATACAAGCACTTGAAGAAACGGCAAACGTGTCTGAGTTCGATAGTACAAAGCAATCCACAGGCTCCAGATGAATATTACAGACTGTGGATAAAGTTGAATGTCCTACTCCAGGTGACTAATGCCAAGTGAGGCACAAGCTTTCCCAGAACAACCCAGATGAAGATGAAGTTTCAAAAGAATAGGATTCAATTCTTTTCCAGATAAGCATTGCTACCTGCTTTAAAGACATCGTTAACACTAGCAAAACAGCAAGACTAATGATCTAGACTTCCCAGGATTTTTTCAGCCAGCTCTACATGAGCATTCACTCCATTTCTTAAGATTAAGATGACCTATGGTTTCTGTTTATTCAGTCTCGGAGTTCTCGCCTTTCTTGCAGTTTCACAGTTAAGATGCATGACTTTTAATGACTTTTTTTCTTTATCCTAGACCAAAAAAGCACTCTGTGAAACAATGAATTATTAGATTTCAGTGTTACACTCAAAACTACAGGTGAAAAAGAAAATTTCTGGAAATGGAATAAAAATCATGTGTTTTTATGGAAAACAGTTTGTCCTCATTTGGAATGAAAGCCTTAAAAATTATATCTTTAAGAAAAAAATTCTGCCAATACATTTAATACTCACATAAAAGAAATTACAAAATACAACCAACACTACCAGAAATTTTAGATTCTGAGGAAGAAGACCCTTTGGGTTGCCAGTATAGTCACTGTTTCTATAATTGTGTCAAAAAAAGACTCCTTTTTAAAGCCCTGAAAAGTAATGAGATCTGTGCTTACGGAGAAAGGCTTGTAGAGACAAGGGAAATTTAGTGGCAACCCTGGAAGGCTTAGTCTTAACCTTTCTCATTACAGAGTCAATTCCTGTCCTAAGACTATGGCCTAATAGAATGTCTTTGCCCTTCGAGCATGAGTGGTAGGGGCATAAGGAGAAAAGCCTTGAGCTTCTCTTACAGGTTAATGCCACCAAGCACTACCAGCATCCAAGTCACTAGACACATGTGATGAGGACTCTGGAACCTGCCTCCTAATCTTTCCCTCCAAGCCAACTGCTACCATCATGATTTGAAACTATTGATATATATAAACCACCTGCAGAGGTAGGTGATGGTGGTGGTGAAACAGGTCCAAGGAGAGGAGAGTCAGGAAGAGGAAAATGAAGATTTGCTGAATACCTACAGAGTACCAGGCCTTATCATCCTCCTCCAGTTTAACTTCCTCTAAGTTCATCAACTTCCTTCTAACCATATTTCCTTCCATATTAAGCCATACTTTTTTTCAAGGACTCTCAACTCATTGGCCTTCTTATACTTCTGGTATACCCATCCCATGAGCAATGAACACAATATGGCTTTATTGCACCCACACATTGGCCACCAAGCACAGCCAGAGAAAATTGTACCACTGTGCTGATATGCTCACAATTTCATGCTACCTAATTTCAGTTCTATTCTCTCTGCTTTCTCAGTACTACATACCACCCTTTACTTGCTTCAGTTAGTTCATCTTCCATTCCCCTTAGCAATTATCCAAATCTTCACTATTCTCAATTGCTACCCCATGCCATTAATTCTTAAAAATGACCTAGATTCCTACTGTGCATATTTTTTTAAAGACTATCAGGTATGGAATCCCTCCAACTCCTTGATTCTGTATCTACAAATTTATCTGCAGACACATCCATTCTCAACCTCAACACTGGTTCTCAGAGGATGAGTTTCCTTCCTCTTCAAGGTTTAAATTGCAATTGTTTGTGGATATACTTTCTACTCCATTAGACAGTGAACTACCTATTCAAGGGCAGGTACTGTCTCATCAATGTCGAATCGCAAACATGTAACATAATGCTTAGGACATAATGTGTACTTAATAAATGTCTGAATAAGTACATTGTGGGTTCCTTTCCTAAAAAACTCAAAGAAAATGATGGAAAGAAAACCGTTTTAAAAATTTTATTTAAAGCTCTTATTTATGAAACAGTGTTTACGTTCCCAACTGAACTAATTTACTGGGTTGTCAGAAAAGTCATGATGCATTTTTGCAACAAAAAACATAGAAAAAATATGTCATGACTTTTCTGACAACCCAATAAATACCTAAAAAAACACACTTGCAATGCCTGGGACTTTGCAAATTTAGCAAAACAAACTACATAATATATAAATACTAGAATCTTAACTCTGTAACTGTTTGGAGTATGCGTAAAATGTTCAATTTAATGTGTTTTGAATTAAACTGACTCCGACCTTATAAAATAAATTAAAAATTCACGAAATATTACCAAGAAGTTTGAGAGAAAAAAATAAAGTGTATATCCTTGGAACTTACATATAATATGTATGTTGAAATGACAGAATCTATTCAATATAACATCAACAGAAATGTCACGGAGGCTCTACTCTGCATTAGAACTATAATTCTTTTAGGATCCCAAGAAAGCACATCAAAAATATACACTGACATGTGAAGATTTTCAAAATCCACTTCCACAAAGGAAGCAGTTACTTGAATAAGCAGTGGAAATGGGACTTTGTTATTACTATTATTATTATAGCCTATTCTGGCTTATTAAATAAGCATTGGTCTCTAATTTTAAATGAGTCATAAAAACTCTTCATAAGTAATTCCATTCAACAAAAGTGTGTTAAGCTCCTGTTTGGACTAGGCACGAAACTAGGTGTCAGGGATACAAACATGAAAAAGGCCACCCCTACCTGCGGGGCATTCCTGGTTTAGTAGGAAAGACAGAAACAAAAATAGGTTATCTACAATATAATATGACATTATCAGAGATGTGTATGAAATGTTTTTGGAGCCTAGCCAAGAGAGACTGATTCTGTCATGTCAGGGTGACGGCAGAAAGTCAGGGATGGACATAGGGGAAGAGGTAACATTCACGCTGGGCCTCGAAGGATAATAGGAGGTTCTTGGTTGGGCAACGGAGAGGAAATGGCACCCTTCACAGAGAGACCGGGGCGATCAAAGGCACATATGTATGGACATGGAAGCTTCCCTCTCCAAACAGCCAGTAGTAACCTGTTGTGGCTCAGCCTTGGAAGTGAGATGAGGCTGACAGGTTCCCAACTATGGAAGGCCTTGACACCATGCCCAGGAGTTTTTAATACATTTTGTAAAAACCCTGAGGTTTTTCATCAGGGAAGGTGCACAATAAGATGTGTGTTCAAAAACTAACTCTGGTGGCACAGTGGAGGAAGGACTAGTGAACAAAGAGGCAGAGGGTGGAAGGCTAGTTGGAGGAATGCTCTTAACCTTTTTCTGGGGACACTGCCTCCCTGGCTGGCTCTGGATTTTCACCAATTAAGCTTTACTATCCCTCCAAGTCCTTTGCAAGCATGAACAAGTGGGTCCAGAGGGCTCAGGAGGACACCTCCCTACCGATGCCCCCGCTGATGCCCCAGCTTTCTCCTGAGCTTCTCCGGGACATTAAAGCTCGGCTCTGATGCTAGGGAGCCTTGATCTCTGACTGCTGAGCTGTACTGATTGCTGTTACTTTTTCTTTCCTTATGTCTTACATGCCCCTCGCTACTCAGAGATCAGTGCCCTGGGTTAGCAAACTGAATAGCAAAGGGCAGGTATAGAAAAAGGAGAAATCAGTGAATGTGACTTGTTTAAATTGTCAAATTCTCTCATTCTCTCCCTTTCTTTACTATGAAAGAGTCTAATGTACCTCCCCAGAAAAAATGCACATGTACAAAAAATTTGCACACAATTTTGAGGGAATTCTTAGGTCCTCTGAGGTCCATTCATGAAATCCAAATTAAAAACTGAATGTACAACTGAAATAAGCCAGACAAGAGACTAGGAATGCAAAGAGGCAATAATAGCAGAAAAGGAGACATTCATCAGAACTTAAGGTACCAAAGGAAACTAAGAGAAAGAGGAGTCAAGGGTGACCTTGAGGTATCTCGCCCGGGCACATGGGTACAATGAGCATAACCTCAGAAGATAACCAAGAAGGTAGCACGAGGAGGGCACAGGGGGTCATCACTTCGTTTTGGCTATAAGGCATTTGAGATGCAGGCAGTAATGTCCATTAAAAATATAGGCTGATAATACTATGTATCAACTATAATTTAAAAAATAATATAGTCATGAAATGTAAAGTACGGTATAGGGAATATAGTCAATGGTATTATCATAGCTATATACGGTGTCAGATGGGTAGTAGACTGGTTGGGGTTATCACTTTATGAGGTGTGTAAATGTCTAATCACTAAGTTTTTTTTATACACCTGAAACTAATAAAAAAATTCCTACTGTTGTCACAAACACACACACACACACACACACACACACACACACACACACACACACACATGATTGATATATAGATAGATGCACTGAGAGAGCAAAAAAGATATCAGAACTATTAGTTCAATATTTTTGAACGCCTGCTCTGGGCACATGAAAAGCCACTTTTTGTGACAACAGGGACACATGCTGCAGAGGTAGAGGATGAAGCCTGGAAAAAAGAATAACACATTGAAAAAAGCAGCAAGTTCATGGCTGATCTGGGCCAC